TTTATTTGTCTGGTGAAATTGCCGTTTTTAATCATCCGCGTGATAATTATTTTCGCAATTTGCTTTGCGAAATGGTCTCAGTCATATCGTTTATCTGAATCACTGGACATTAGAACCATTGTTCGTTCTAATTGTCAACTAAAATTGGCAATTTACTTTTTTATTTTCTTTATTCCAATAATACTCGGTTTTTCTCACCAATCGCTTCCGGAGGCAGTGTACGTGGAAGGAAAATATAATTGAACATAGTCTGGTCTTTTTTTGGGGGGATATGGACGGACAATCGATCTTCATTCGATCCTATATGATCGGTAATGAGGAAATGGCGTATACCGTAATGTGTTTTTGAACATATTGGTCTTCGTCATGTTTGTAAATTAAAATTGGTAATACTATCCCGATCCTCTGACTATCGCAATCACTGCTTTATCAATAAGAGATCGTAATGAGTTCGAAGATAATGGCGGACCTATCAGTCTTCACCGGTACAGAACAATGATGGATGTATATTCATGAGGTTTTCGTGCTTCAGTATAAAACTGCCTTACGATCTCCCGGTCGAAAGTAACGCGCTATTCCTATTACCATTTATCCTTTTCTCTCTCTTACTCACCTTCTGATTATTTTCTATTTAACTAATTTGCAGGAGGCGTGCTGAGGACTCAGCCGCGCGGTCATCTGCGCTTCTTCAAACCCTCTCACAATTTCGTATTCCCTCTGACGTCCCTGATCACACCCTCACGTGCTACACGAATAGAAGTTGATTGTTTTGTCGACCTCACCGACAACACGCAAACCATCCACCGATAATCTAACTTTTATACCTTGCGGTTCAAACGATCGGCTTTTCTCGTCAATATTTTCTACCTTCGATTTTATCAATTCTTAGCCTGACCTTTTATTCTAATTAAATTTTGCTCACAGCTCCTCATCGAGTGAAAATCTTCATCGCCCCTGAAAATTTGTCTCCACGGAAATTCAACAAATTCCACAGATGCAATTATTTTTATTTATTGATGAACATTCAATGAACTTAAATCCTGTGAATAAATGAATTAAAAGCATTGGGTGGAAAAACCGGCAAGAGTTTCCTTTTTTGGAAATTTATACTTCTAGGTGCAAAGGAAATAAGTGAAGCTACTGTGGTGTCAATGCCCATTCTGTGAATGGATTTAAGAATTTTTTCCGAGTTCAAACGATTTATTTCCATCGAATATTCAAATCTACTCAGGTCTGGCATTTACTGAGTAAAAGCTTTTGGAGAATTTATCCTTTGGCATTTAATTAATTCGCTGGGCCACGATAAATTTTCAGTAATGTATTTGATTAAAGGATAATGCCTCCGGTGTTCCTACCCACGACTACCCCTCATCCTTCTCTCTCTATTTTCGCGTATCTCAAGCTGGAGTATAACCCGCTCTTACTTCACTTTACATCTCAATGTCTCTGTCTACATTCTCTTCATCCACCAAAACTCCCAGTCAGATACTAACGCTCCTCTGAGCTCAACGACACATCGCAATCTCCTTATCTGGATTGGACCTGGCTCCAAAATACCACCACACTCTAAAATTGTCTGTTGCGTATGAATATTTCATTCTTCAATAAATTATTCAATATTTCATTTCCCATCATTTTTAGATTATCTAATCCTTCTGCACATCTCTCTTCATCGTCTCTGCAATACAATATTTCGCGCAGATTTCTATGGAATTATCTTTGCATTTCCAGAGATAAACGAATTAATTTTTTAATTAAAAAAATTGATCCCCAATTGATGGTTTTTTTTACGTTACGCCAGATATCTTCACCAACTCATTACAAAATTCAATTCAAATTCAAATCATTACAAATGCTTCTGTAGTTGATGAAACTGTATGAATTATTGATTTATTGAAAATTTATGATTTATTCGTCTCAGCAAAAAATAGGATTCGATAGAATTCATAAGATGACAGAATGAATATGAACGTAGTTGTTGGGATTAATTACAGAAATTGATATCCATTGGATTTCTCCGTTGATTAAATAAAAAATCTGAATTGTTGTCGAATTTGAGGTTGAAATTATGCGCATTCTTGCATATAAAACACTGGGAGACCGTTTCCATGTATAAACACCAGGTATATTTACCTTAGCTCAATATCCCTCCGCGCAGTGCGTCCTAATTACTTACAGGGCGAGTTCTCCACACAAATGTCCGTATGTTCTTCCTTTCCATTCACACTCATGCAGTTCAAACTACTGCCTCTTTCCGCGCCGCCCAAATCCCAGACGTTTCCGAATACGTACGAAGTAGACCAAAGTGACCGTCTGGTGGTCTCCCGTTCCTCTCAGGTATGTACCCCCCTTTGCACCCCTAAAATTCATCAACTATTCAATTCTAATTTCCTCCCATACCGGGAAAGACTGCACTATATACCATTTGTACATAGTACCCCCTTCCGCCCACTCGGCCCCTCACAGCTCAGAAGATTGTACAAGGAGTATCTTTTGGAAATTACACAATTGGAGATTATTCTTATAAAAAATAGGAGAGTCCAGGAAAAAAAAGGTTTTAACCAGTGCAAAAGATGCGTATCCTCGCGAAAAGAATTCCAGTGCTATATTTACTTTCATGTACATTATTACCCATAATTAATGGTCAAATTTCCATGTTAAGGCATATCCAATTTATCACCGTTTATTTTCCCGTTTATTTTTTGGGAAAGCAAAATCTAATTACGAGGCAAGTTGTGCACAGGGCGTTATTTGGATAGCGACTCTGATTTTTTTATATTTGATCGTGAAATTTTCGTATAATTCTCACGTCACAATCGCCACCTGAACTATTAATAGTTCAGTGTCGTGGAGGGTTGGTGTATGTGGTTGCAACGGCATAAACTTTCTTCGAGATTAGAACGAGTGGCACGCAATGTGTCGCTTCGCTCGGACGTCGATTTTTCTTATGGGTCACCCCTTTGAGCCACCCCCACATTCTACTCCCACCCCATTTTCTTCATTTTCGTATGGTATATACTTCTGGGGAAGTCTAACCCCTTATCTCATTGCCCTCGGGTTCTCGCGTTACTCTTAATTGCAAGCTCGAACGTTGCACCGCCCAGGTACCACCCATGTGGGCGTGCACACGGGGATGAAAATTCATCGATACTATCGTATGCTGAATAGTTGCACTTCATTAAGTCTAAAAATAAGTTGAATATTCCATACACTCATTGATTTTTACGAGGGGAAATGGAATAGCTTGATAGTTTTCCTAAGAACCCCTCGTAATTCGCAAGGCTAAATTCAGTCTCGGTTGAATTGTCCAAAATTTTTGAAAAAAAGGAGAAAACAAAAAAGCGGTGGGAGTAGCCACGTGGATAATGTGTGACTCCCACAAACACTATCAGATCATAACAAATAACGATAAAAGCCGAGAGTCTCTATAGGCCATATTGTTTTTTTTCTTTTGTAATTAATATTACTGAGTAACCATTGTTTTTTAAAACTAGTTTTTTTAAGGTATGTAAATAATGTAAATAATGTAAATAATTTCTGTTGAATAAAAAAAAACATGGTAAAAAAAATAGTGTGTGACTCTGGCGGTCATCTAGGCTAAGAATTTTTATCGTAGTTCCAGGTTTACGTAGTATTTACGTGAAGTAATTGAGAAATAACAGGTAGATGGAAGTTTTAATCAGCTTTTTCTTTATTTCATTATAACCTGATAATTTTCAATTGCTCCAAGATTTTTACAGGACTTTGCGCACGCAAGACATCCGTAAAACGCCACTTTACAGTCGGCGTAATGGATTGCACTTATTCTAAAATCTCATTGACAAAAATAAATATTTATTCAATTCTTTAGTAACATTGTGTTTGCGAATGAATGAATGATATTTTCCCTCCATTACGCAGTTTTTTTTTCTCACCACATAAAACTGAAGTTTATGTGAATATTTCTATCTTCTGTGCCATTTAATTCCTCTTTATTGAAACCAGTAAGAGAGTTCATATCGTTTCATTAGCATATCGGGAGTGTATACTTTGTTGGGTCGGTAACCGTCGAGACCTTTAAATTTAAATTCACGCACGCCTGATATTATGCGGAAGGTGAGAAAACACCCTTCGATATTAAAAGTAGCGTGGTTCGAAGATATTATGCGAATCCTCCATTTTTTTTCACCTTCAATATTGATAAACTTCTGCCAATGCGAAACTTTTACATTTATTTCAAAATATTTTCCTAAAATTTCTGTCCCATATAGGCAGAAAAATTAAGATAACGATTTTGAATAGTGCATGCTCTACTTTTTACAGAGTGTTCAATTAGGCTTCTTTATAAACGTGAATTATAAAAAACTTTTGCAACGTGCGTGACAATTTTCCATTTTTATCACTGAATAATAAAAATCCAACACGTTGACAAATTCCGTACTCAAACTTTATGAATGTCCCTCAGGATTAATTACAATAATATTAATAGATTTTAATCTTTCAAGCTAAGTCATTAATCGCTGCATAAAGATATTCGAATCACTTTTCATAAACTTACACCACTAACGCAATTGTTTATGAATATTTCTCCCATATCTAATGAGAAATATATCATACAGTCCCCTTATTCCACGAGAAATGCAATTTGATATCAGTAGTTTCTGCATATCATCTGTAAACAACGTCTGGGATTTGGGATTCCAAACTGATGTACGATTTGTAACAGGTACACAAAGCAGATAACGATTTAATGTGATGACCCAATCGTCTTGATTTAACAATTGCAATCAACGATTATCAATAACAATTATCCTGCAACTATAAGAAAGAAAGAAGAAATAACATTATAAATATTTGGAGAGAGTGCATTATAATATAGTACGTATTTTAACGCATGATTTCATGCTGCTGTACTCTCCTCTCGCAACTGGTATCTAATTTCATGACTCATGGATATTATTGCAACGAAAGAAACTGCAGAAGGCTTATCTAGTGACTTTTGACTCGTTAAAGCTGAGAATTGTTCATTATATACTAGTCCGCAGTCCGTAGTTGATCGTCATTCCGCTATAGTATTATAGTTCAGCTCGTTAATAATCATTGGAAAATTTTGAAAATGGAGCATACGGTATGTAGCAAATGTACATTCAACATTCATCGAGTGCCACACTAAATTCGGTATGCAGAGAAAAAAATTGTTTGCTCCGCGTAAATTTTTATGCCACCAGCGAATATACATATGGGACATTCCATGTCAGTCACCTCCATTTTTTTTGTCTAGAAAATATTATGTAACTATTGCATTTTGAAGTACTGTATTTAGATAGTATTCATACTGAATTTCATTGCTCTATCATTTTTTTTCCTGAGATGACGGTTAAAGAACTTGAAATATTAAAAAATTCATAACTTTTGAATGGCACATTTGACTTGAATAAATTGAAAAACAAAATTTTTTGTTTTTGTACATACTCTAAAAACAAAATACTAGTCGACCGTAAACAAACTTCTATATTGATTTTTCGCAAAATTTTTCGATTTTTATTTTTTTCCTTCGTGAGGGCCGCCCGGTATTTAATTGAAATAATTTTTGATAAATGAGTAGTTTAACACCCCAAACAATTTTTATAAGTTGTGTAGTGGCATGTGTAGATTTCCAGTCCTTTAGATTCCAGCCCAGGTAGATTCCAGGATCTGGAAAATGTTTTGGGAGAAATAATTAGATTGGGAGTTACGTGTGTTACTACACCGCTTTCCCTGGTATCCAGGACCACGATGAGGACGTAGCGGTGTGTCGGCCGAAAAGACATCACATGTTGATATACTAAAGACGATGGACACGCAGAAAGATGTTGGTTTTTGATGGTAGTACCGTACAGATCACTCAATGACTACATCTATTACCTCACCTCAACTGACCACCTAATATTACTAACTTAACCCAACTAGTGCCCCACCGCTACCCTTCTGTTGCTATTCAAATGATTGAATATAGTATAAGTCATTCGTGGTATCAACAGCGATAGAAGGGGGCAGAAGGGGTTCGGAAATCTCAGAGACAATTGAGGGACCTGCACGGTACTACCGCAGTGTATTTATTTCCCCGCCTCTAAACTAATTGGACAAAGAAGAAAAATAAAAACAGAAAAATTTTGCGAAAAATCAATATAGAAACTCGTCTACGACTAAGTAGTATTTTGTTTCTTAGACTATATGCAAAAATGAAAATATTTGGCTTTCAATTTGTCAAAATCGAATGGGCCGTTCAAAAGTTATAAATTTTCGAATCTTTCGAGTTCTTCAACCGTTATCTCAGGAACAAAAGAAGAATCGCCGGGACATTGAATAATTAATAATAATTCTTTTGTTAATTGTAATTTTTCTAATTTGTATTTTTACCCCTTATCTTTGATTATTTTCATATATTCTTTCATGGGGGGAAATTTTCTTATTAACGTTTAATATGCAGACAGTGTTGAAATAAATTGGCGTTTCAACAGTTACTTGCATGAAAAATACCCCTCAGAACTCAACGAGACTTGCATTATTTGAAAGATCATTTTTCAAGCTTTAAGTTTGTATAGAGTATTTGATCAGTTTCGTTTGGAATGACAAAAATCATAGAACATATTCTCAATCCTTTCAAATGATACCGGAGTCATTTTTTGCCTACACGGGTGCTGAAATTTTGGTTGAACTTAAAAACTGTAGACGTGACATACTAACTTCATGTTTCCTGATGTTCAAATAATCGTAACTTCGGTCTGCCTAGAGATAAATGTATGAAATTAGAACCATTCGTAAGCGAATTTTGTGAGTTCTGAAAGAATATGGGATACGTGCCATTTACATATGAGAGAGGAAGGTATTGAGGACTGACAGTATCAAGTGACTGGGATGGACAACGATTTTTTTAATAAGGATAACCTAATTGTTTTTTTTTCAGGAAAAGCCGATTTTTAAAGACGGCATTTGGAAAGGAATTGTAAGACCGCCAATTGAAGGATGGCAACATTTCCGGAGTACATTGTTGGAAAGGCTCAACAAATATCCGTTCCGTGTAGGCCAAGTATGTGTATTACTTTCTTTACATCGCCTGCCGATTCTTATTTACTAATATTTCATCGAGATACGCAATAACGGATTGACCAGGAAAATTTCTACTCCGACTATACAACATTTCAATTGGAGCACACAATCTATTTGTGCCGTACAAGATTCCCCCTTGCATTGGAGCTAAATGATTTCTTATCAGTATGATTAAGTGTTATAAACTGCACTGAGAGAAAAAAATTTCTCTAATCAAGAAGATTTTCTTCTCACCAGTAAATCTAGCAATTACTGTATAAATATTCCCATATGAATTACTGTTAAATATATTTTCTTATGGTTATTATTGGCTAAGAAAATTTTAATCGTAATCGAAAATATATTCTTAGTGGCAGTTTTTAGGTCATTCACAACAGCACCCATCAAACGTTCTTTAATTCTAACCGCTCTGATCAAAACAAAAAATATTTACACGTGAGCAATGTTAATCAAAATATTCGGTAAGCACTTAAACTCGACGTAAATACGGAAAAAAGATAGGGAGTTTACGAAAAAATTTTTAAAAAATAGTGAAATCTGGATTCCATCAAATGGAGTGGAATATCAAAATATCTTTGGACAATTATTTGCAACGAAAAGACCTTTTGATCCTTCTATATCGCAAGATTAGATGTGACCAATGATGATGAATCGGTTGAATTTAGATAGACGCTTCAACGGGACAGAAAGATCTCTATGGAGACATGGCGGACAGAATAACGAGTTGTTCTATGTGGTTGAAGAAAGGAAATGTACAGCCTGGTGATATCATTGGTATTTGTACTTCCAATAACCTGAACGCAGTCATACCGCTTGTCGCCTCACTTCTTGCTGAAGCCATTCCTAATCCTTGGTGGGATGCCGTTCTCACAGATGGTAAGACATACAGTGATCACTTCCTTTCATCTTCTTTCCATCTTTCAGAGCGTCCGATGCATCATCGCGTGAGGAGAATCGTTCCCCCACTCTAACATTGCCTCTCCTCAGGATTCTCTGTTAATATTATCCATTCTCTCCCTTACACGCGACAAATCTGCGCACTGATATTAACCAACTGACAAACTAATCGGAGAGAGGATACCTCTTTTAGTGTCCTTCCAAGAATTCAACCAACGTGGACATATAGGGAGTTTTCACGGTACTTCTAGATGCATGTCTAAAAGCAAAAAGGGCCAAGTGCCAAAGAACAATCTTGCACATTTCTTAAAGCCAAAAAGTGCTATTCCACTTGAAAACGCTAGAAAAAAGTTGTTGTAGAACGTACAATAAGTTATAGTTAGGCCAATCCATATAGAACCTTTTGCCTTCAAGATACATTCCCAGAAATAGAAAATTCTTCCAGTTATTTCCATCTTTTAGATACGATAAAACACTTCCTGAACTTGACAAAACCAAAAATTATATTTTCGGACGAGATGAAAATCAAGAAGATAAAAGAAGTGGTGGACAAGACCGGCGAAAACATAAGAATTGTCTGCCTCGGCGACATTCCCGGTTTTGAAAGTCTGAATCATATCATAGAGAATACGGATCCTGATGCAATGGCCAAATTCAAATGTGAGGATTTGAAGGATTTGCAAGAAGCAGCGGTGATTCTCTATACTTCAGGAACCTCTGGATATCCAAAAGGGGTTCTTCTCCCTTACAGCTGTTTAATCGCCGAAATGGGCCCAATGTGCGAAACCCCAGAGATTATTTTCCGCACAGCTGGTATTAACTGGATAACTGGACTGATGAACGCATTGGTAACTATAGGCGCTTGTTCGACCACTGTCATACATCCAAATCTTGATGAAAAAATTATTTTGGAAATAGTGGAAAAATATAAGGTTTGTAGCTTTGTTCATAAAGTTTTCTTAATATTAGTTCTTACATGAAAGAATTACGTGCGGTTCGTGATTATTAACAACGGTTGGTGACGATATACAATATTTGACTCTTATAAGTTCTATCAATTTTCGTGTGGAAATTATATAGTGGTGGTCCGATTCGTGCGGTACATTGAGTTTTCAATGGACAAGCTGTGAATATTGCGTAAAAGAGCTAATGAGTGTTGTGGCTATGTGAATATTTAAGTTGAGTCTATTCTAGCCGCGAAGTCGTCATTGGTCAGGAAAATTGGAGAGGGGATGAACTGCTTCCCTAGTCTGATTGGTTCGGCGGTTAGAATAGATAATTTCCGGGCCCGTGGTCCCGCAATGACATTACGTAGAGACCGTCCGGGGAAGTCCCTAGTTAAGGTCTCATGTTCTACAGTTTATCGTCCAGAAAAATCCAACTCGGACTTTCAAAAAGGTGTGGCGGAATCGTTAGAAAAGTTGAGAATAAATTTGGCATGCTCGGTGTGCAGTCAACTTGTAAATGAGAAAGGAACTGATTCAGTTTCGATTTTCACGAGGACTATTACGCATAATGGTGGATGCCTTAAATTTGTAGGTAAAGCGCATTTCGTGTCTAAATACAGCTCATGCCATACGATTGTGGACGGCTAAGGATCTCCGAGACTACGATGTATCGTCCCTCGAATCCATCCCCATTGGTGGGAGTACAGTTCCCGCAGAAGTTGATGAATTCGTTCAGAAATATTTCAAAAATGGCGCAGCGAACCTTGTATATGGTAAATCAGAGCATTTGTAACCCCGGCTCCATAATAATGATTGATTAGCTTTTATAATTGCGAATAGGTTGTACAGAGCTCGGCGGAATAGCCATTCGTCAGAAATGGACCGGTAAACCCGGCTCATGTGGACAACCTGGAGCAAATCATGAGCTGAAAGTGGTTGATATAGATACTGGCAAAATTTTAGGGCCGAATGAGAAGGGAGAATTCTTTGCCAAATATCCATATGGGATGCTTGGTTACTTTAATGATCCAGACGCCACCAAAGCAGCTTATGATGAAGAAGGTATAGTGCTAAATTTTCTGTTCATTGAAATAATTACTCTTCAGCGTGTGTTGATGTCTTCGTTCTTCCGATAGGATGGTACAGCACTGGTGATTTTGGCTATTATGATGCCGATGGAGAGTTGTTCGTACTCGATCGTCTAAAGGAACTCATCAAATTCCGAATGATCTACCATATAGCACCAGGTGTGATTGAGAAAGTAATCTTAAATTATCCTGGGGTGTTTGAAGCTGCAGTACTGGCAAGACCCCATGTCAAGGATATCGAACAGCCGATGGCTTTCATCTCGCTCCGTTCTAAGGCAAAAGTTAGTCTTCATTCAAGATATCCTCGTACACTTTAATATATATGACTAGAAAAGCTATTAAAAAGAGATATTATTTTCATGAACAGGTAACAGAAAGCGATATAATCGATCACGTCGCGAAAAATTTGCCTGACCACATGCGCCTGAGAGGAGGTGTTAAAATACTCGATAAACTACCGTACACAAACTCAGGAAAAATATCCAAAAGAGAACTAAGGGATATAATCAAATCCCTAGAGGAATAAATGACGAATAAAGTTATGAGCAAAAAATACCATTTATTGTGAAGCTTACGATCTCCAATCGAGATTATTGAAAGTCCGAAATTTTGAAAGGATTCGTTTGTTGTTTGGGTGTCCATTTTTATTTTAAGTGATAATTACGTGCAATGACGTTAATAATTATGAACTCATTATAATCAAATGAATAAATGTCTAAAAGAAATTTCACTCTATCAGTTGTCGTAATCATCATCCCCACTTATCTACCACATACATGTACATAATGAGGGTACATGATGTCGGAAAGGTACTAGAGCCAAGGAAAAGGTTGAATATTTTATAACGGTGATTTTTATCAAGAATCATTCGGAGAACTGTTGGAAAGTATAATTTGCGGTATATTGATTCGAGAAAAGTCAGGCTATCACGCGAGTACGACACTTTCCGCGAGTTGTTATTAAAGGGGTGGTGAGAAAAGAAGTATGTACTCTCCTGACACTCCCTTTGCCTTTTTCATTTTTTAAATATTTTTTTCCGTCGTGTACAGAGGTTCGACTTACGGATACCGGGGCAGAGATGGATTGGCGGGGGTTATCACCACCTCCCGAACCCTCTCTTATCAATCATGCCACCCGCAACATCGTGTGGATCAGGAGGGTCTTGGCAAAAAGAATGGATATTATCGGCAACTTGAAATTGCAAAGCGAATTCATATTTACGTCTTCAATAAATACTGATGTCAAGATCTTGTATTACCAATTATTGACTAAGGGCGTGAACGTTTGGCAGAAAAATAGTTATCGACTGCAGACATGTAATTTCATATAACACTAAATAAACATCATGTTCATGCAGAATAAGAAAAAAACGGACATTGGAATGAAAGGGGAAATTGACGGTGGAAAAAGAAATTATTGGGCTGTATCCGAAAAAAAAAAACCGGAAAAAAGTCCTCCAACATGCCGAGCAATTATTAAGACTCCCTAAATTAGTCGAAACGTGCATTAATAAATATAAATCAATAGTAATGAGTTTTTGGGAGAATCGCATTAAAACTTAATATCCACAAACTTACGATCGCATTACGTAACACACACCCACGGTTTAATATTGGGAAAACTCGAAGGCTACAGAGTAGCGGGTGGAGTGAACGAGTATCTGCACTCTGCTTGATTAATTGAAATTTAATTGGATTCCCAGTTGGAATTATTAATCGAGCGCCTATTGAGGAGCGTTCCAGTAATAACTCGATGCTACTTGGAATTGAGTTTCATTCCATCTTCCGATGGAATATTAAAAAACAATTTGAGTGAACAAAAAGGAGAATTGATTAGCAACGCAGAATGAAAAAAATGAAAGGAAAAAACGAAAAAAGTAATAATTTACGCAGTTAGAGCAAAATGATGAAGCATAAAATTCAGGGGATAAAGGCATGCATCTACAGACTGGACAGAGGTATGTAACATATCTAACCTGAACGATCGGGTTGTGCGGTGCAACGCGTTGGGCATCATACCTCCTCTACCAGCAGGTCCTGGTGTACGTGTCGAACCCCCGCGGCGTCTCGCCACCATCTCGCACACGGTGCCTATTTCCATCGGATATCGCCGTCAGATCGCTCCTTGATTAAAATCCGCAAGCCTCCCGATATACGAACCACCGAACTTTACCCAACCTCTTGTCTTTCCACTTCCCTCACAAGACCAATGGATTCAACCATAAATACCATCACCAGTCCACCAACCCAACTACACGCACCTGGAACCAGTTAGAACGAAAAATATCATTTTTGCTATCACAATTTTTTTTTTAATCCAGGGGTTGAAGAATGGGATGTATTTTTAAAAGATTCCGTTTTTATTCGTCAATTAATTACACCTTTTTCATGAGAACTTTCATTTGAAATTTTTCAAAATCTCAAGTTAATTGTAATATCGTTGTTACCTGAAAAGAGAGAGGTCCTTTTCTAGGTTTGGTCAAGTGAAAATATTATCGTTGCACCGAGAATAAATTCATAAAAATGGAAGTGGAATGACCCATTGAGATATTTTCATAAATTTTATGGATAATTAATAACCTGCACATTCACTGATCCGGCGAGCACGAATAAATAACTTTAATGGTCTTGGGATCAGCGCAATATGTTCCCTATCAGCTAAATATTTTTGAAATTATCTTCCCCCAGCAACTACCGGAGAATTAGTAGAGTCAGTTCAATTAGAGTTCAAGTCAAAGAATTATTTATCGACTGTTAAACGTGAGACTAGGCCCCCTGCGATCATGGGAATTTATATATTTTTATTCGTACACCCACCAGAGTCAATATAATAGCCCCGCGAAACGATTTCAGCCACTACTGCACTGTACCTAAATAACACGATTTTTTAAAATTCCACCGAGTTATAAACAGACATGAATTTTACGAGACAAAAACAGTCTCTTGGTTTTATTTGGAAATTAAAAAATCGAATTTACCTCTCACGGGATTTAGTTTGTCAAAAATGTTAGCGGTGCATTGAATCAACCAAAGCGTTATTTCAGTGGGAGAAAAAAAAATACCCACCTCCTACCCCTCCAGCCCCATCATTCCACCACTGTGTAACTATGAACAAACATTATAATTCGCATTGTTCCTCCATCCTGTACCTTTATATCCGGGATTCCATGCATCCCTCATTTTTTCTCTCCCTCTCATATCTCACTTTATTTTCAGACGCAATTGAATATAACGAAATGCAAACACGACCATCGGGCCCTCACGAGGGACGTCAGTGAGGCAACTTCGCTCTCAGTTAACTTCGACCATTATAAACCGCTTTTTTTCCAACGTCAAAAAAACTCTATCTCTTATTAACAAACGTCATTTTAAAACATGCAAAAGAAATCCGACAAAATAAAGATAACAAATTTCAATTATCTTGATTGGATCTCCTAATTAATGTTGGAGAAACGAAATGAAAATTTAATGAATTGCAGTTCGAATTGCTATTTGTGCGGGAGTCGAAACTGGAGATATAAATGAGGAAATTTTTTAATTTGGAATGGAGCATAATTCCTGATTATTAATTAAATTTTCATTCAGGCTCCGATGGGTCATCGGTCGACGCTAAATCGCGTTATTGATTCAAAAGGATATACCCAGTTTACAGAAAAATAATAATAAATATGCAGCTTACCATTGAGTCTACCTGTCACTCAATATTTTTTTGTAAGCTTGGTAGATCCTTTCCGATTATCATCGCAATTTACCGCCCTTCAATAATTTTTCCTCTTTTTTCCATCATCTTTTTATAATCATTCAAGTGGTGCCTGCAACACAAATTTGGTCATAAATTTTAATATATTTTAAGTTAGCCAGATAGAATTGAAACACAACTTATATCAGGTTTTATATAATAATTAATATGAGAAACGAATGGACGTCATTTTGAAAAGTATTGAGCGTTAATAACTTGTAGGTATGTTCCGTCGTTTGTCTCAAAGAAGTTTTGATTTTTACGAAATATAGGGACTTCATCAATTCTACCTTTTCAGACATTTTATTATTTCTAGGCTCCTCCCTTCTCGATTCAAGATCTTCCCGGCTTGAATAATTCCCTGAAACAGAAGAACTCATTGATCCTGTCAGTCTGAACTTTTGATATGAGCGAAAAACTTCAAGTGAAACTCGAAAGTTCTTTAAACGATTTTTCACCACAAAACGGATGAATATATATGCGAGTTATCTGAGGAAAAAAATGGTTGGAATGGTTAAAGCCAATGGATACCGTCAAGTGCGGATACATCCCCGAAACGTCGACGTTGCCGTCCTGGAGGCAAGAATAATTGAATTTTAATTTCATAATTCCTCTCTCCACGGATCCTGAGCCGATCTCTTTCGTTCAGCGCACTTTGCTGAACGTTTATCCGAGGGTATCGAGAGAAAAAGTGGGAGGACAGGAGGGAAAAGGATTTCTAGCTGTCTCGAGCAGCTCGAGCTTTCCGAACCGTCTCCGCATTTTCGCTTATATTATATCTTTATCTCTATCGTCGTTTCAGTCTCCCGTAGCCATTCGTTTGGAATCTTCGAATTAAACTCACTGGTCCGGGCACATGAAATACGACGTGCCATTACTGAAAAGGGAGACATAAACACTGTTTGTATCGAACAGATTTTCTACCCACGGTACTTATCATTAATATATAGATAGCGTCACGGGATTGAAATTCAACGGATTTAGGTGATTACACTGGGACATCTATAGACATTTAAAGCCCTCACAGATGGAAAAAAATGCGAAAACAAAAATTTTGTTTTTCACTTCAGCCCCAGAGGCCGATTTAGCATCTTTGGGGAAGGAATATCACTTCTTTGGAAAAGTGAATTTTTTCTTGAACCGACAGTCGATTTCATGTGTTCGGTTGATAGACGATAATAAATCCCCCAGAGCCCGGAATAAATCGAAAATAAAAAAAGTTCATCATAGCCCCAGGGGCCTGATTTGTGATGTTTAATTAATGAAGAGTTATGAAAAATGAAGAAAGCCAAGTTCCTCGATATTCCGATGTATCTCAGGATGTTCATAAGTGAATGCCTATGGAATAAAAAAAAATCATATATGAACCATGTGTTGTTGACTTAGTGCAATCTCGAACGAATGAAAATCATGCATATACCCATTGCCAAGTTGCATATCGCGAATGGGTGAACGGGGTCTTGTATTCCCCGTTGGCGACGTCTGGGGGAACATCATCAGTCGTAGCCTTGTAATTTTGATCATTTGACCGCTCTTGCGATTCTACGCCGACCGTGGCTTTTGCCGCAGGATTTATTGCCCGGTCACACAGAAGACCGTGGAGAAAAGAGAGAGAGAAAGAGAGAATACAGTGGAGTGAGGGAGACAGCGTGTACAGTTCATTGCAGGGTATAAGAAAGGTAAAGAGAGAAAGATGAAACATAAAAGGAATCGCGAGGAAAAGATAGGAAAAGGACCCAGAGTGATAAATCCCTTGGTATAAGCCGCGTATGGGAAATTTGAACGACTATTCTATAAATATCTATATGTGTTCTATCGTTTTGCTAATATATCGCCGGATGCTGAATGAGATGGAGTGGATTAAAAATAAAAGTTTAGGTAGGGGCGCAATGAGACGAGGCACGGTTTAATCCTTGGAAAGAGTGACGAGGAGATGATACACGTCATTTCACACCAGACGCCATGGAATTCACGTGGACCATTTATGCTACACTCGA